GCGGGAGAAAATAGTTGCTATTTCTTGGCCTTTGACTCTATATATGTTTTAGTAAGCATTTCTATGATTTACATTTTAAATTTTACTAAACAATAAAATATAAATTATTAAATAAGATAACAATTTTTAATATAAAAAAATCCAATTCACATCTAATAATTAGTATGGTGTAATTTGATATAATAATTGTAATTTAAACTACATAACACTTTATTTTTAGATTTTTACGTTTAATATGGAGTCGAAACCAATCTGATTTTTGTTTGGGTTTCTATGAACGGCTTAATTCAATTTTTAGTCTATTAACTATCACCTTAATTTCATTTTAGTCTAAAAACTATATTTTATTTCTAAGTGGTCTATTAACTTTCAGATTCATTTCAATTTCATCTAGCTGGTTATCTTTGATGGAAAACTTACTATTCTGTTAGAGAATAATTAGTCCTCTAACTATATTTATTTTGATCTTTTAGTCTTCAAATTTATATTTACTATAAAAACAACTTTTATACTTAAAATTATTATTTCTAGGCTCTGACACTGAATTTTTATTCAGGTTTTCAGAATTTAACTCAGACTGCTATTAACTAATGAATAGCTGATATGTTAAGCTTAGTTAGTGTGGAATTAGATCTACTAGACTACTAACAAAAATAATCACTTTCTAGTTGTGTCTAGATCTTACAAAATTTTTTTATCTATATCACTTTTTAGTCGTAGAATTATTCTGTTATACATTTTTACGATTTGATTGCAAATTTTTCAGCGATTGCTTTTAATGTCTTTAATAGACCTTATTTCTTCTTTTATTTCTTTCAATTTTCTAGAGTTTTTAACATTATTTATTCTTTCTTTAATAGAATCAAATTCTTGAGGAAGAGATTTTCTCATTTCTTTAATTCTTCTTAGGGTATTTTCATTAATTGTTTCTATTTTTAGAATATTATCAGTTATTCATTAGTTAGTAGTAGTCTTAATTAAGTTCTGAAAACCTGAATAAAAATCTAGTATCAGAGCCTAAAAATAATAATTTTAAGTATAAAAGCTATTTTTACAGCAAATATAAATTTGAGGACTAAAAGATCAAAACAATTATAGTTAGAGGACTAACTGTTTTCTAACAGAATATTAAGTTTTCCGTCAAAGATAACCAGGTAGACGAAATTGAAATGAATCCGAAAGTTAATAGACTACTTAGAAATAAAACATAGTTTCTAGACTAAAATAAAATCAAGGTGATAGTTAATAGACTAAAAATTAAATTAACCCTTCTATGAACGGATTGATTTGTTGCTATTTCTAGCTGCTTTAACATTACAATTGCAAAAAATTTTGATTTGATGTACAGTATCATGTTTTGAGCTATTGGTTTAGAAGTAGACCCGGCAAAAATCCACCTGACCAGTCAACTCGACCCTAACTCGACCCTTAAAAAAGGGGTTAAGGTCTACATATTTCAACTTGCAACCCGTAGATAACCCGTATTATCAACACGTACGGATCATGGATCGAGTTAGAGTCAACCCGCGGGTTGACAGGTTGACCCCTTTGCCAGGTCTATTTAGAAGCATTTAATTGGCTTGATCTTTTTTAGTGTTGGTTAATTTTACGTATAATTAATTTGAATTCTAATAAATTAATCTATATTTATCATTGTTGATTATTTAATCATATAAAGAATATACTTAAAAACATGAGGAAGATTTAAATTTCCAAGATAAAATAAGGATTAAAGATGAAAAAATATTTGTCTAACTTGAAATTAAGAAAATAATCACTCCTTTCATTTATATTTATTAAATTTATTTTTTTATTTGAGGCATTTAAATTTAATTATCTACTTTTTCACTTTAGCATGTCATTTAATATATTTATTCTTAT